ACGTGTGGGGCCCGGCCCGCGTCCGTGGACAGGGTCACGAGCGCTACTTTCTGCTGGTGGTTGACGACTACTCGCGTTTCACCACAGTCTTCCCCTTGCGCAGCAAGGGTGATGTCACTGCGGTGTTGATCGACTGGATCCGCGTAGCTCGTCTCCAGCTCAGGAGAAGCTTCGGCTCGGACTTTCCTGTTCTGCGTCTGCACTCTGACCGAGGCGGCGAGTTTTCCTCTGGCCTTCTACGAGCCTACTGACGTGCACAGGGCATCCGCCAGACCTTTACGCTTCCGGACTCTCCACAGCAAAATGGGATTGCTGAGCTCCGCATTGGCATGGTCATGGACGTCGCTCGTACGTCCATGATGCATGCGGCTGCCCCCCATTTTCTGTGGCCGTTTGCGGTACAGTACGCGGCGCATCAGATCAACCTTCACCCCGGGGTTTCTCGGCCGGGGAAGGTCCGTACCTCCCCGGCCCTCCTGTGGACGGGGAAGGTCGGCGATGCGTCTACGTTCCGTGTCTGAGGATCTCAGGCGTTTGTCCGCGACTTGTCTGCGGACAAACTGTCCCCCCGTGCTGCTCCCTGTGTCTTCCTTGGCTTCCCCCGTGACGCTCCAGGGTGGCAGTTCTACCACCCCTCCTCTCGTCGTGTTCTGTCCTCCCAGGACGTCACGTTTGACGAGTCAGTCCCCTTCCACCGCCTGTTCTCCTACCGCACTCCTTCCCTCCTCCCGCCACCGGACTTCCTTGTGCCAGGTCCCCCCCCGGTAGACCCCCTCCCCCATCAGGTTCCTGCCCCTTCAGGTGTGTCCCAGGTAGACGCCGTCGAGCCGGTCGAGGTTGATGATGACTCTGGTCCTACTGCGGGTGCTGAGCCTGGGGGTGCTGACTCTGGGGGTGCTGTGCGCGTAGGTGCTGAGCCTGGGGGTGACGAGCCTTGGGGTGCTGCGTCTGGGGGTGCTGAGTCTGAGGGTGCTGCGTCTGGAGCTGCTAAGCCTGGGGGTGCTCAGTCTGGGGGTGCTGCGTCTGGGGCTGCTGAGCCTGGCTGTGCGGAGCCTGAGGTTGCTGGACCTCCCCTTGTGATGTCTGGCGGTGCTGGGCCTGGAGGTTCTTCGGGTGCTCCGTCTCGGCGGGAGCCGCTCTCTCCACAGGAGTTGCGCGAGTGGTTTGCTCGCCGCTCGAGGCGTACTACTGGTGCTGGAGCTTCTTCGGCCGCTGAAGCTGCTGGTGTCGCCGGTCTCGGAGCTGCTGGGCCTGCGGGTCCTCTTGGAGCTGGAGCTGCTGAGGGTGTTGGTACTGAGACTGCTGCTGTCTGTCCTGGCGGTGGTCCTGCTGCTGGTGCGACTGGAGGTCCTGCCTCTGGAGGTGCTCTTGGCGCTGGTGCTGCTGCTGAGGGTTCTAGTGCTGTCCCTGCTGGGTCTGGAGTCCCCACGCGGCCTCGGCCGTACTTCGTTCCACTCCTTCAGCAGGTTCTTGGTCTTCCTCCTTCTGTAGAGTGTCCGCCATCCGTCCAGTCGCCGTCCCTGTTAGAGCCGGCCTCCCCACTGCCAGCTCCCTCTCCTTACACTGGTCCTATTGGAGGTCTTGCTGAGCGTCGTGAGCCTGCGTCTCGTCCCACGTCGCCTGTTCGTGCTGCTCGCACTAGTGGTCCCAGTTCGCGTCAGCGTCCTCCTTGTGTCCCTGGCACGCACCGGATGTCTCTGCGTCCGTCCACTGCTCCTCTGCGTGCCCCTTTGCCTTCTCCTCCTGAGTCCTCTCTTCCTGCGCTTTCCGACCCGGAGTCGAACTCTCTTCGTGCTGCCAGTCCTACTGTCACGCGTCTTCTTGCTACTGTAGTCGCTGACCCCTCTTTCGAGTCCACTGCTGCATCTGCTCTTGTCGCTGAGCTCGTCGACTTTGCTACTCGCTGTCGTCTAGACTACGCTGCTAGTCTTGTTGCTGAGTGTGCGTCTGTCTGTCCTCCGTCCGTCGGGGGTGAGTGTGCTCTTGGCACGGACGTCCTTGAGGACAGGCAGGAGGAGTTCCAGTGTCTGGCTGCTGCTTCACCTCATCTCGCGTCTGTACTACTTGCCCCTAAGGGAGACCCGGATGCACTAGACATCCCGACTCCGCGTTCTTACGTGGAGGGCGTAGAGGGTCCCTACTCCTCTCAGTGGCAGGCAGCTATGGATGCAGAGAAGGCTTCCTTGAAGTCCACAGGCACCTACGTTGACGAGGTTCCCCCTCCTGGGGCGAACATCGTCAGTGGCATGTGGATCTTCAGGGTGAAGCGGCCGCCTGGTTCTCCACCTGTCTTCAAGGCGCGGTACGTTGCTCGTGGCTTCAGTCAGTGGCAAGGAGTAGACTACTTTCAGACCTTCTCTCCCACCCCGAAGATGACTACTCTTTGGGTGCTGCTGCACATAGCCGCTCAGCGCGACTACGAGCCTCACTCTCTTGACTTCAGCACTGCTTTCTTGCAGGGCAGCCTGCACGAGGAGATCTGGCTGCGCCGTCCGCCTCGCTTCACTGGGACATTCCCTCCTGGCACCCAGTGGAGCCTCCGACGGCCAGTCTACGGTCTGTGCCAGGCACCGCGTGAGTGGCACGACACACTGAGGACTACGCTTGCGGCTCTTGGGTTTGCTCCCTCTACTACTGACCCGTCGTTGTTTCTCCGCACCGACACTTCTCTGCCGCCATTCTACATCCTCGTGTACGTCGACGACTTGGTCTTTGCCACTGGTGACACTGCTGGACTTGCCTACGTGAAGTCTGAGCTGCTAAAGAGACACACGTGCACAGACCCGGGTGAACTGCGCAGCTACCTTGGCTTGCAGATCACTCGTGACAGAGCACGCCGCACCATTACCTTGACTCAGTAACACATGGTGTAGCAGGTCCTTCAGCGCTTCGGCTTCACGTACTCCTCGCCTCAGGCCACTCCTCTGTCTACTCGCCACTCGCTCTCGGCTCTGCCTTCGGATGAGTCCGTAGAGTCGAGTGGCCCGTATGCAGAGCTTGTTGGCTGCCTCATGTACCTGATGACCTGCACACGACCTGACCTTGCATACCCTCTTAGCATTCTTGCACGCTATGTTGCTCCTGGGAGACACCGACCAGAGCACATGGCTGCAGCGAAGAGGGTGTTGCGCTACTTGTGCAGTACGTCGGGCATGGGGCTAGTGCTTGGAGGGCGGAGTCCAGTGGTCCTCACTGGTCAAGCGGACGCTTCTTGGGCTGACGACCAGGCTACGCAGCGGTCGTCGTAGGGGTACACCTTCAGTCTTGGTTCTAGCTCTGTTTCTTGGCGGGCTACTCGCTCGTCTTCTGTTCTCGGCTCCAGCTGTGAGGCTGAGATCTACGCCGGGGCCATGGATGCACAGGAGCTTCGTTGGCTCACCTACCTGCTGACCGACCTTGGAGAGCCGCCTTGTTCTCCTCCAGTGCTGTACGTAGACAACAAGGCCATGCTGGCCTTGTGTCGAGAGCAGCGCTTGGAGCACAGAACGAAGCACATTGCTCTCCGTTACTTCCTTGCTTGTGAGCTGCAGCAGCGTGGTCAGTTGCGACTTGCGTACGTGGCCTCTGAGGCCAACACCGCTGATGTTTTCACCAAGGCACTTCCGCCTTGTGATCATCAGCGCTTCTGCACTCAGCTGGGACTTGTACCTGTCCTACCTCACTTGCTCACCTCTTGACCTTGCTTGTACTCTTGCGTATATATATATACCTGCTCTTGCTTGTTTAGCCTTATATATATATGTCTCCTCTTGCATGTGAACTGGCCTTGTGGCCTTGACCTTGTGCTCGGACTGTGTGGTGACTTTGTGATCCACCCTGAGCTTTGCTTTGCTCTGCTTGACTGGTCTTGTGACCCCTTGTTCTCCCCCACTTTGCCTATGGGGGTGTGTCAGAACATATAGCTTATGCTTTTGTGTAGGCTATAGTGGGGTATCCCATATGGGGTACAACACAATTAGGGTTGGTACTTGTACTCACACATTTCATAGTTCATCCATTCACGTTCCTAATATCACAAAAACTCCAGCTGTACTAGTGCCCGACCAACGAGATGGCAGCAGATTAACTCACCAAGAAGCTACCAAAGGGAAAATTCGAGTACTGCATGCTACTCACCGGATTGGGCCACGTCACCGAAGCTGACCACGTCGACACTCCAGAAACGAAGGGGAGTGTTGGGAATTCACACGCATGACTTAGTGCGTTTCTGTAGTATCGAACCTCACCCGATACTGAAGCACAACAAAAGGAGTATGAAGTCGAAAAGGCGCGTACCACATCAAACCGCAACTGGAGGTTGCGATCTGTAACCGCCTGGAGGTTGCGTAACAGCAAGCAACGCTTCAGTGAACAGTAACGGCCTCGATAGTCGAAGCGTTACGCGTCTCGATAAACATAACCGTTTCCTGTAATCTATCTTTTCTATATATTCTTGTATGCTCTTTGCTTTAATCAATTACTTGTTCTCACATACCTGTACAAGTACATTCACTCAAGACTTCCGCTGTGCTACTCTAGCACCTACTAGCCTATTCTCTGCAAAGATCCTAAGGCTGAAATCATCAGCCCAACAGCACATGTGTTAGCACTTTGTTTCTTGTGGTGTATTGTAGCTGTAAGATTGGGTGCTTTGAAGATTGCCTTGCATAGCCAGTTGGTCGCCCCATCTTCCCTCCAACCATCTTCCCTCCGACCCTCCCGTCAACCAATCACACCCTTCCCTGTTTCCCCTGCCACCCTGCCTATTTCGTGCCACACTGGTGGAAGCTTGTAGGGCGTTGATTCCATGCCCAGTGGGTTGCAGTCCATGTTTCATGCATCGGCCGTTCTCCCATGTTGCCCCTCTCCACTCCAACCACCCCTTACGCTTGCGAGAGCATATCAATGCTTGGTTTTGAGCCCGTCTTGTCGCTCGGTGTGCCTCGCACACTCTACCTAATGCTGTCCATCCCTTTCCCTGCTCACCACCCCTCAGGAACGTGGAGTGGAGGTGTCATCGCATGCCTTTTGTGCTCTAATACCTTCCACCTGCCTGCCATGTCCAGTTTGCCTAACTAACACTACCCTTCCCCATTAATCCGCACTCCCCCGTTGTAACAGGTTGAATATTCAGTGGTGCACCACAAGGCTCGTGGCAAACGCATTCCTACGGATGCGGATGTGAATGCAGCTGACATTGCCAGCTACCACCGCAAGGTGAAGGCGGTCATTCGCAAGACCCTCGAAGAGTCACCGGATGGCGAGCTTCCTGCATGGTCGGAGCAATATCAGGGGTGGGTGTTTGGACCCACCGAGACCGTGGTGATCTCGGGCAGCGGCTTCCCCGACCTCATTCCCGATGGGGCTGACCCCGATGTCGCCGAGAAGAAGGCGGTTGCTCTTTTGTTCGAGTATGCCCAAGTGGAGCCCAAGAAAGGCAAGAAGAAGACGGGTTCCAACAACTGTAATGCCGCCATGGAGCGAGATCTCCTGGATGATGTGGGTGAGTGGGAGGATGCGGAGGATAGTGTGTAGAGGTGGATGTTGTGGGCGGGCAAATTGGTGCCATGCTGAGATCTGTTGTGTTATATAGCTTATGTATTATATATATTTGGGAAATGGACAAATGGTTACTTTTGGGATACAAATATATGGGTCACTTTCAGCAAGAATTTTGAGCCTCAAATTTGTACAGTTTCCATACCATTGGTTCAGGCAAATGTATGCTTTTTTAACAAAAAATGCATGACTAATGGGAGGCGGTTTCATGATGTTGGGAACGCAAATGTAATATAAGTGATATGTAAGTGAGGTACATTTACTAACTAAATAGCTATTCCTTTTCGTATGGAAATGGACCATACTAAAAAGGTAGGACAACTTCAACTTTATAGTAGGCCAAATCAGCCCTCCTAAATAAATACCGAGTATAGAAAAGGTATGTACAATCAATAGGGATTTTTGAGATGTGCTCTGTTTATGGTAACCACTTTTGTACCGTTGTGTCAGTCCGTGAATTTTGGGACGGTTCTGAATGTGCAACCCCCTGAGGAACTATCTTCTCTCGAGCACCCTTTGGGGCAGTGCGCTGGTGCAGTCTGCAATGCTGCTTGCTTGCTTGCTCGAAAGGAGAGCAAATGAGCGCTGAGCTGACATGTTATTTGCTGGATGGGGGTGTCCGCGCTGCTCTGCACAGCACACAACAGGGCTTCTTGTGTTGAGCAGGTTGTGTGGTTGGATTGAAAGTCGAGCTGTTTTCTTGTGGGGAAGGGCATGGCGAAGAAGGTCTGTTTGACTATGTTTGGTTTGTTTTGGTGTATTTTAATCAGGTTTGGTCTGGTTTGTACGAAGATCCGCCGTGTGCTCCACGAGGGCGCGTGAAGATGGCCTGGTTGGATTGGGTTGGGGGGGTAGTAGGGACATGATATCGCGACGCGAACAAGCGAGCGTGGCCGATTATGAAAAAAGAAGGCAGCATCCCGCAATAGATGCTGATGTGCCTGCCACCAATTGGCCAGATAAGAGGAACCAAGCCTTTCCGGAATGAGCGGGAGAATGCTGTTCTCCACAGCCAGTCCTGTCAAAACCAGCCAGCGTGTCGTAGGTGTATTTGGTTGACCAATGACCACTCCACTCCAGAAAACAGCATTACAGTACAGTAGATGATCAGCCTATCACAAAATATTGCTTTGTACAATTAGAAATTGTCACTCGCGAACGTTTTGCCCGTGAGTGACTAAATTGACTATTGTGCCGATTTCTGGGTACAGTCACCAAGTTGAGGAAGAAAAACATCTACAGTTTATAAACAACAACGGTTGCCCGTCATCGGAGAAGTTAGCCTGGCTACTACAGTTGTTCTCGCATTAAGTCCCGCTCCAAAACACGAACCGCGCGGGACTATGTGTCAAAACCTCAAAATCCCAGGCAAATTGAACCCTATAGTCCCAACTGGGCGGTTTAGGTCGTCCTTACGTATGATGGCTGGTACGGCATCGTACGGCTGCTCTGGGCGACGGAATGTTACCATTCCGTCGCCCGGAATGAAACCGAACTGTTGCTCAATAGTCTGAACATCAGCACAACAATTTCCTCGCTCTGTCACTGAAATGGTGCATTAATTAAAATGTCTTATAAACGTACAAAAACAAACACACAAACAAGCAGCACTTGTTCTCACACGTGCAACCATCAAACATTGGCAAGAACACAACCACTCACACACACAAGCATGCGACACTCCCAAAACACATTCCGTCATCACATCCCAGCATGCACAAGCACATTCTACGCTCCCTGCTCGCACACAAACACCAACACCTTACACATGCACGCATGTTAAGAAGAGTAGTAACACAGACACAAAAAACCAACGGCACGTCGCCAAACATTAGCCTCACCCACACTGAAGCCCGGTAGATGGCACTTGCGGCACGCATACTGCAGAAGGGACTGACCAAAATATTGCACATGAATGGGCATTGTTGTCTCTCTTAGAAGTCGCGGAGCCATTCAGCTTCCTCCGCGAAGCCGTCCATAACCGCCGTTGCATCTTGTGCATCACCCACAGCGTAACTGCCGCTGCTAGGTGGGGGGTTGTTCAGGTTCAGGTACGCGCGACTGGCTCGATCCAGTCGCGCAAGTACATCAGAGTTGCTGATGCCAAATATCTGCGCCAGATCCATTGGCAGGATCCTTGACGCCCGCGCATAGCCGATAAGGATCTCAGTGGCGTTCCTAGCCACGCGGCGTCGCTCGCGGAGCATGTCCGCGTCGGCCGGTCCACTTGGCTGGACGGGATCCGCACGAGGACTGCCGTGTGTGCGAGGGGGTTCGTCCGCCAGCGGATCAGGCCCAAAGAAGTCGCATGTGGGAACTTGGTCGTCAACAGAGTTGAACTCCAGCGCCGTCATTGCTGCTGGCCCGATATTGAGGCGCTGGAGTTGCGTGGAGAGCAAGTCGAGCTGCTCACTAGTGGCTGCCGGGTCCGATGTAGTAGCGGTGACGTTGCGCGGGAAGAGGGGAATCCAGGCACGAGGAAGAATGCCTGCGTGCCACCAGCAGCGCTGAATTGTCTCAGGTTCAACATCATCCCAAGACTCAAACACCCACATGACCATCTGCCAAGATTTTGGCTTCACGGTCTGGCGGGTGCCGCTGCTCCCGCTGTCGTCCCACCGATGCAGCCAATCAGCAATCACCCGCTGCCGAAAGCGGGCTTTCACTGCACGGATCACGCCCTGGTCAAGGGGCTGCGTGAAAGCGGTGGTGTTCGGAGGGAGGTATACGATGCGCAAGTTGCTCAGTTTCACGGTGCGGAATCCCAGTATGTCTTCGCGCAAAGCGGTCGCCGAATCAACACGGTGGCTCGCTGCATTGTCCACGAGAAGAACCACCTGGCGGTCCTCAGCAAAGAAGGTTGCGTTGAGCGATTCCACAAAGGATGTGAAAATCTGCGCATTGAAGAGAGTAAAGAAAATCAGACGCCACTAGTACTACTACGTAGTACTGCGCTATTGCACATCTAGGAACGCAGGGACGGAATAGAATTGTACACGTTTTCAAACTTGGACCGTGGAACTTGCCTCGCTAGTCATCCAGCCGCGCCGGTTGTAGCGCCAATAAACATACGGCTCGGGGTCAAAACCGGTCTCGCTGAAGTCTCGCGGACGACGCACTTTGGAAATAATCATTGGACGGAATGAGGACGAACCGTCTGCGTTGCACAGGAATGCGATGGTCACACGGTCTTTTGCAATTTTTCCGCCGACAGGAACCTCCAGCGCCCATGTCTTCCGTGGCTGACACGCCGGGAAAAGTGCTGTTTCGTCGAAGTTGAAAAGATCTTTCGGTGTCACACCAAGCAGCGAGATTAGCTCGGGAAGCCAGAGGCGGGCCCTTGTTACTGCCTCCATGTCTGCGTCTGCAGCTTCTCCCGCGCGAGTGAGGTTCCGGAAGCCCATACGGTGCATCGCACGGTGAACCCAGCTGATTGAGCAGCGGAAGCGGGAGTAAATGTTCAACTCCCGACGAAGCGCACGTGCTTTCTCCTGAATCAATTTCAGCGTCAGCGGAACGCCAGCCTCACATGCATTTCGAACCCAGCCGTGGAGTTCGCACTCGAGCTGGGGAAACTTGGGATGGCGAAGACGGTAGGTGCGGCCCTGGATTGTTGTCGCGGCGCGCCACTTCCTCTCGCCACGGAGGATTTTCCCAATGGTGCTGCGGTCAGGCAGGATTCTGAACCTCGTGTTGCACCAGCGTGACAAATCCTCGTGTCGAAGGTGGGGATTCAGCGCAAAGTGCTCACAGATGGCCCGTTTCGTGGCGAGTGGGATGCGAGAGCGCTTAGGGACTCGGGCCATGTTGTTTAGCCGGTGGTAGCGATTGGGTGTTATGGGTAACGAAAACCACGAATTGAACGCGCTGGATGAGTTCCTCTGGTCAACGCCGAAGTCTATTTCACCTGTGCCCCGCCACCTCACCTCCAAGGGGTACGACCTGTGTTACGTGGCACATGAAACCAGGATGATGTGGCACCCAAAATCGCACGGGCTTCGCAAGCTCGATTCGTCTCGAAACTTCACATTTCGCAAACCTTGTACACGTCGCACTAGTAATCTGACTCTGCCATTTGATTGGTTCAGCCACTGATTCGCTCTGAATCACAAGGATCAGATTCGTTACTGTACATTTTCAGCCACCCGCAAGGGGACTGTAGAGGAGGGGCTACACATAGGAATTATAGGAAAAAGCTCCTCTTTTTGAAAATGGGACTTTGTTAGTGCGGGCCTTTATAGCGGAACCATTTGTAAATCAAAGACATTGACTCGATTCACGTTGCAATTTCATATTAGAGTCACATTTTTGCCCGTGGCGACAAGGGCGAGCGTGGCGAAAGGTCTAATACTTCTTACACGCACATGCCGCCCGCCTACCTGGTGTTCTTGAAATGGGCACCAATTGTACAGCACAGTTCAACTGTACAGAGAACAGTCCAGATTGATGTGTGATGTGACATGTCTGAAGAGTGCGCCTTGTCGTCTTGTAAGCATGGAGAGCTTCGATATGGCAGACTTATGTGAGAACATATACGCAAGGGAAGGAAGTGCAACAAAAAATTGTGATCAAGGCATAATTCATATGTTTTCTAGTGAATGGTAGTGGACATGCAATATAATGCTCCTTGGAAAAATCGACTGGAGAACAATTGACATACCAAGATCAATCCTTGGGTAAGAAACAGACTCCCAGCCCAATGTTTTTTTCAAGCTAAGCACTACCAAGAGAGCCTTAAAAGAGGGGGGGAGGTGGTTGAAAAAGAGGTGAATGGCTAGATTAGTGACATTAGGATTGAATTATCATGGAATAATATTCCGCACATACATGTGTTCTCTCACAGCAGAACCTAAGCATCAGGAGATAGTACATGAGTCCAACTACTAAAACTGATTCGGATCATGGGATGAAGAGAGAGCACACAAATGATGAGATGCTTGGCTAGTGACAACAGCTCCTGCCACGTCCGGCTGCAGCTGAACCCCTCCCTCCGCCTCCAGTACCGTCTGCAACATCATGTTATTGGCTGCTTTGCCCCCCTCCCCACTGCTGCTGCTTCTGCCACATTTCCTGCTGTCCTTTCTTCCTTTTCCAGGAGAGTCTGCTGCTGCTGCTGCTGTTGAGTCGATTATGTGGGAAGGGGATCTGACCACAGCGCATTATAAAGCGAGTAATACCAGCGCTTCACACATCACACTCAGCACCATGCGCCCCTGAAAACACCTGCGATGTATTCCGCTGTACCCACGTGACAGCCTTCCAGATGCTCTTGCAGGCAGCGATCTCCCCGGTGCTGCAGTGCACGCATCTCCGAATCATGCCGTACTGCCCCCTGCTTATCTCCCTCTTGAATAGAAGCCACTGCTGCCGAATGTCCTCCACTCGCCACCTCAACACCTCCCCCATCTCCTCCTCCCCCACTTGCATATTCCTCTCTGCTGCTGGGATTGCAAGTTCACAGGTGTTTGATTCGGGAGGCTCATCCAAGGCTGCAGGCTCGGTAGTGGGGAGCTGGCTTCGAGACAGCTGTTGCCGCATTGACTGCATTCGCCGCGAGCATTCACTACATTGGCTGCATACACCGCGAGCACTCACTGCATTGGCTGCATACACCGCGAGCACTCACTGCATTGGCTGCATACACCGCGAGCACTCACTGCATTGGCTGCATTCACTCCATCATAAACTGCTTTCAATAACGTTGACTTGGTTGACTTAACAGTTGGTTCGGATGAGTTCAGGGAATGAGCCCATCAGGAGCATCGTGGAACCACTGCCGCATCAGCCGCCGCCGCTGTTTCCGTCCCAGCACTGTTGGTGCCGCCGTTTCAACCACTGACGCCGCTGCTTCGTTCAACCAATCCTCAAGCGCCACGTCGATTGCGTTGAATTGCACGGATTCGGACGGCCACGGAATGCAGTCGGCGAAAGGAGGAGACATCGGGAAGTCGTGCGGCCACGCGGAGGCGGAAGGGTTGGCGAAAGGGGAGGCGGAGGTCTCTTCCGCGGAAGGGGAGGCGGGAAAGTCTAGAGTGGTTGTGGGGCTGCGGCAGCTCGTAACGGCGACGTCCGTAGCGGCGGCTGCGGCAGTGACATCCGAAGTACACGTGGTGACGCCGCAATAAGCGCCGTCATGGCCGGCGGCAGCGGGGCTGACCTGAATTTCGAGGGTTCTGTTGGAATTCAGCGGCAGTGGCGCGCCGTCGCCGCGGCTGGGGCTCGCGCGATTTAGCCGCGTCACGGCGCTGGTCGATGACGTGCGATGCGACGACGACATTATTTCAATGATGATGGAAAAGATCGTTGGTCGAAATTGCGCGCGATCGCTGTAGTCAAATCGGCGAGAAATGGCGAGAATCGGCAGGAAAAGGCGTGCTGATCGCGAATTGCTAGACCCTAAGATGAGCTTCAGGGGTCTTGGATGGTTTCCAGTCAGAACGCCTTGAAGCGGGATTCGGGAAATGGCTTGAGCTGCAACTGCTATGGCTGGTCAATTTGAGTCTCTGCTTGTAGTCGCACTCGCGGCGAGCGTTTACATACTACTCGAGGTGGATGTGGCGACGGGTGGAATGGGGAATAGATGGGCGGATGGAGAATAGTGTCGCTGATGAATGGCGGGGACGAGTTTCGACACGGCGCTACTCGAATCGATGGAGCTGCAAGGAAGGAGAGATCACATTCCCCTCGACGCATACAAGGGTTCATGAACTTTGGACGGGCCCGTGCAGTGAATAACATCAGCGGTAAGGTATGTGTTACCAATGCGGGCTCGACTAAGTCCACGCCATGCGCTCTGATTACCATAGTAACTCAGCGCCGATGGTGACTCAGCGGCGGTACTACAGTTACTGGGGGGGAAGGATGAGATGAGTGAGACTGACGCCATGGATGGGCGTGAGGGAATTATCGCGCCAAAGGCGGTCGGAGAAATGGGAGGTGAAAAATGTCGGAGAGGGAAGGGGAGGCTGACACGCGGCTCGCGGGAGTCGGACTCCCCCACCCCCCCCCCCCTTTCCCCTCCACTGCAATCCCAGCCATCGGCGGAGCACCGATCGGCGGAGAACCGATCGGCGGAGAAAGATGAGCGGCGAAAGTAACCCATCCGTTTGGCACCCTCACCGCGCACTCTCCCGAAGCCTGAGCCCAAAGACACGCCAACCCTACTTTGACGAGTCATCGTGACAGCATATCGCGTAATCGCATCCGATCAGATTTGAACGAGGAATCAGACTAACTTGGACAGTCTAGGGCTACTGTAGCATGTTGCGTTGGCTGTCTGTAGTGGACATGCCAGGTGGACAAACAGTGCTCCAAGAGCCAGCGCTGCGAAGGAATGTTCGACGCGATACAATTACGCCGAGCAAGCCTTTTCCGGTGGCAATAAGAACGCGCGTGGATGCTAAGTTCTGACACGATTATTTCTCCTTAGTACACCCTGTTTCTCGACCCTCTCACCTTGCGCGATTCGCTGCTACAGTGCGGTCAGGTGCCATAAACCGTATGGCTGAAACCTGCGGGCAAAGCCGCACCAGCTGACGGAGTGGTACTGGGGGCAAAATTTTTCTTTATCGCTGTTTACCCTTTTCAACCGCTTTGAAACGCTTGGTTAATGTTCTTTACCATGCAGCATCCTAGCTAACCGCTTTCTTGTGAATGTGCTTGTACCGTCGGTGATAAGACCATTTCAAACGTGGTGACGTTCTACAACCTGTGCATGTTCTGCAACCAGATGCTCTGCTAGCGCGAAACAGGGTGTACTAAGCGCGGAACTTAGGGCCATTGCTGAGAAGGGCCGCTAGAAGTGTACGTACCGCAAAGCGTGGTGCCGAGAAGGGCCGCTAAAACTACTGTCTGTAGGCTTCGTGAGGTCAGCGCGGATGAAGGAGAGGAGAACTCTCTTCTGCATCTCCTAGAAACGGTAACAAGGGGGGAACAAGTGCCATATGTTCACTATTGTGTCAGTGCGGTTCTGTAGCGTTCATCGGTCCAGTCGTGACTAATTATTTGGATGGTTCAAAAATGTATTTTGACTAGTAACTGCAAATGCCCAACCCCTGTGCGCGAATTTGCCCTGCCCGCGATGGAAACTCTGCACCCGTGTATTAGGGTGCCAGCCAGTTGCACCCCATTTACAACCATCTCGAGCAACGAACCACAAAAACCGAAGTTTGAGAGAAGAGACCAACGTCAAACGGTCAACAATAAGTTACAAAATCTTTTCAAAGGCCTTTTTGCTAAGTGTGAACTGATGAAAACTTAGCGAAGTAAAAGAAACGCTTAAGAGCCCTCTTTACAAGGCAACCTCGGGTTAGTCAACGAGCATCTTGTGTATTTTCTCTTGGGCATTCGTGTTGCA